TCGAGTCGTGCGAGAAGGTTACAGAGCTGACATAACTGCTATGGCCCTTAAGCGTCTGCAGGCACGCGCCGCTGCTCGCATCCCACACCTTGACGGTGTTGTCCCACGATGCTGATGCTAGCCGCGTCGAGTCGTGCGAGAAGGTTACAGAGTAGACATAACCGCTATGGCCCTCGAGCGTCTGCAGACACGCGCTCCAATTGTCCCTTATGTCTGGCGTGAAAGAAATACCTTCTGGCTCTTCATACTGAAACAGCTTTCTCACTACACTCTGCTTTGGACTGAACAACAGCGCAGATACATACGCCTGGAGAGGGCTACTTTCAATCACTTGTTTGTGGTACATAATAAATCGATATGCATCGTACACAAGCTTAGTGAATGGAGTCATCTCCCCCTAGCCCGAGCTACTGTTAGCATAGAAGATATCTAAGTTAATAGGATCGCTTGTTGTGGACACACCTGCACTAACATCTGTAGCTCCCTCATCGAGACTACGCCTTTCGACATGCTCTTGCAGAGGCCAAGACATTCTAGCCAATATAGATACTTTTCCCTCAAGAATCTATCAACAACGCCTCCATCTCTCAGACGTTCTGCATAGGTTGCGGAAGCCGTAGGATTCGAGTCGCGTAGATGGTCGACCCAGTGAACACACGAGTAGCGCACCGCTGCTAGCGGGTCCGGCTTAGGCATCGGAATGTCGTCGATAAGCGTGCCCAGCGCCTTTAGGCCATACATGTCCCGTCGCAGGGTCATGGACATAATCTGAAGCGACCTAGCAAAGATGGCGTGGTGGACGGCCTCCCGTCCGGCTGGGAAGACTTCTTGAACTACCTTGGCGAGGAGAAAGTCCTTGGCTGACTGGTGCACGAAGTACACAGTCTGCCCTCGCAGGGCAAGGAACGAGCCGCAAAGGCCGATAATCTCTCGTAACTCTGCGTCGTCAGCTACGTCTTCGAGCGGCTCGACAAGGGTCACTAGCTCCTCGAGCGTGATTGGCCGGTACACGAGTGCGACCGCAGCCAGCACCTGCTTGCAGAGCTCAGCATCGTCCGTCTTGCTGATCTGCTGCATCATCCTCTCGTACAGGGCGTCCAGTCCAGGCGGGAACAATTCCAGCTTCCTCAGAACGTTTCGTTTCGCCGTCGCATGAAGGTGCTGACACACCAGCGCTACCCAGAGGAAGGTGTCGTTCGCATTCGATGCTAGATGCTCGAGCACAGCGCGCTTAGTTCGCTCGTCGTACTTGTTCTGCTGCGCGAGCTTAGAGACCCTTTGATCGATAAAGACTTGGACCGCCGTCGACACAGACGCTGCATTGAGCTCGAGGCTCAGCTTGACCTGGTGGCCTGCATCCTCTAGGCTTCTCTCTATCTCTGGCCAGTTACGGCTAGAGACAATCCACTTAATGCGAGAAGAGGCAGACGAGTGCTTTGCTATAAAATCAAGCAGCTTTGGCAGGTCAGTGACGCACTCGTCTAGCGCGTCGATGATTAGGTACGTAGTAGTTAAGCACGGGTCCCGCAGCACGTCTGCACAGACCTCTTTCAAGGCAACCCACGCGTTTGCATCCTCGAACATGGTCTTGCCTGCGCAATCGTACTTCTTACGAACGTGTGAGACCAGCGACGGCTGCTGGCTAACAAGTATGTACAGCAGCCCTCGCAGCACAGCTGTAGCATTGTTGATACGCGAGTCGGTGGCCTGGCAGAAGAAGTACGAGAGCACGCCTGTCGAGTCTATTGACTCCTGCAGCTCGTCGATAATACCGCAGAGGAGCATCGTCTTGCCTTTGCCGGGATCGGCCTTCACCCACAGCAGCTGAGTGTGCGCATCGTCGCGCCACCGCCGAAAGTCCGGATGGTCGAGCACCCAACGGTATGCGTCTTTGAGCAGGCCGCCCTTTGTCTCTTCAATACGCTTCTTGTCGTCGCGAGGATCAGTCAGACGCAAGTCCGCCAAGCACCTCTTATCCTCGCTCGTCTCGTGCATCCTTTCCTGCTGTCGTGTTTGCTCTCGGATCGCGGAGCTGATGCTGTCTAATTTGGCGTTCTGCGACTTGGCCGTCTCAGCGATCGCACCAAGCTGAGCTCTAATCGAAGACGTGTTGTACTGCACCGAATCTGCCCGCACCGCCCTCTCTGCCGCTTGTATGTCGCTCAGCTCGCCGTCCCAGTTCTCAAGCTTGACGAGGTCTCGCATGAACGTCGCAAACCGGCTGCGGTGGTAGTAGTACACGCTCTTCATCTGGTACAGCAGCAGCTTCGCGTACAGCTGAGTGACCACCTCCTCGAGCTGGCCTCTTGATTCCTTCGAGCGCGCTTCGGTCATGTTCTCGTCCAGCAGCAGGCTCGACAGGTGCCAGTACCAGTCCATCCTCGATACAACGTAGGCAATACCCTGGCGGTTAGAGCTCGCCTGGGTAAGCGGGTTCATCAGGATCTTGACGCTGCACATCAGTCTCAGCCACCATTCTCTACTGTGGGAATCCAAACCTCAAGCGCAAAACACACGCCGACCCAGGCGACAGCGGCCTCAGGCGACGCCTGGATCGCCTTTTCCACAACTTCCTTGACGGCCATAGCGGCCTGGATGCCATCTCCTACCCCTTGCTTGACTTTTGCGTCCTTTTCTGTCTTGCGTAGCCCATACTGGACGAGCTGCTGCATCTGCATCCGCCGTTTGTCCGCGTTCTGTGCGATCTCGTTTTGCTGCGACGCGAGGTCCGCAGGGTGTGGAGCGTCTGGCACGTCTGCATTGTGCTCCACCAGCCGGACGGACAGGATCTTCTCATAGGCATCGACAGTGCTCGAGTCGTTCGCTTTTGCATGCTCGTACGCTCGGTTCCACAGTCGCTCCGGTATGCTAGGCGGAGATGCGGCAGAACCGGGAGCGGCCTGTGCAGGTGGGGTAACGGCGGTGGGAGAGGCTCTAGCTTGCGGAGCCGTTGGAGCGTCCTTCCCCCGGAGCTTGGCTTTGAGATGTTCTTTGAGAGAGACCATGATCAAGCTAAAGCAGCGAACAGCTAACGCTAACGCTAACGATGAGTGGAAAGTCAGAGTACTATAGCATTCCTATAGTTTGATTGCAAGAGAGCTGACAGCATGGCTATTTAGACACGGCGTGCCGCCAAGGACTCAGCCTCGGTTAGGCCGCAGAGTCGGTAGCCTGGCAGAACAAGTAGTTAGGAGATAGCGGCGGCCTTCGCTACGTTCTTCTATAGCTGGGAGTTATGCCTTACGGAGAAGAAAGAAGCAGAAGTCTCCCACTCTCAAAGGACGTTCCAACTGTATCAAGCTGCTGACTGCGCTGACCCCCCATCTAACATCTAAAAATAAGTGTGGCGCGCGTTGTGGGGCTCTTGGCCTTAAACTGTGCTCTTTGTTGCCGCGACGCTTCACGATGCCTCTAGGCGACCAGGCAGCACTTGCCCTGTAGATCGTTGCTAACCATCATGGACAAAGCAAGGCAAGTATTAGCACGAGGTGTCCCTCCTGGTGTGCGTAGATCGTACCGTACCCTGGCAGACTACGGCGGAGTCCCTCGTAGTACCCTCCATCATCGCGCCCATGGCCGACCTTCGATGCAGGACAAGGCCCAGAGCCAGCAGTACCTGACACCGTGGGAAGAGGTTGCCCTCGTCAAGTTCATCTTACAGATGTCAGATCTCGGACGGCCTGTACGAATCAAGCACATTCCCTCGCTCGCCTTCGTCGCTACCCGCGGTCGACCCGCGACGAACAGACCTTCCAAGCCCCCAGGTAAAAACTGGGCAAAGGCCTTCGAGAAGCGCCATCCAGAGATAGCAGCGAGACGCGTCACGGCACTAGACTGGAACCGCCACGAGAACAACATCGCCGGCAAGATGACACATTGGTTCGAGGTGATAGGGAAGGTACTGCGCGATCCAGCTATCGTAGCGGAGAATGTCTATAATATGGACGAGACTGGGGTCATGCTATCTATGCTTGGCTCGGTAAAGGTGCTCGTAGGTAAGGACGATAAACGAACCCATAGAGGCGCGCGCGTGAAGCGAACGACAGTCACTGCTATCGAGTGCATTAGCGCTGACGGTAGGTATCTAAACCCGATGATTATTTGGCCGGCTACTACCCACCGAAGTAACTGGACAACCTTTCCTACTCCTGGATGGCATTATGCGTGCAATGAATCTGGATATACGGACTCCAACATCAGCTTGCAGTGGCTTGAGCGTGTGTTTGATCCTGAGACCAAGGAACGTGCTAACGGGAGGCCACGCGTGTTAATTCTTGATGGCTTTGGGACACATGAGACTCTTGAGATCCTAGAGTACTGTTTTGCAAACAACATTGTCTTGTGTCGTCTGCCCTCTCATACGTCTCACAAGCTTCAGCCTTGCGATGTTGCTGCGTTTGGCCCGTTAAAGACGGCCTATCGCGAACAGGTCGAACGATTAGAGCGGGGCGGTGTCAATGCCATCGGCAAGGAGCATTTTACTTGTCTATACAAACCTGCCAGGGAGCGAGCATTTACAGCTAAGAACATCAAGGCTGGTTTTGCCGCAAGTGGTTTGTTCCCGTTCAATCCAGACAGAGTGCTGAGGACTGTGCCAAAACCTCTGGCCGAACTAACTCATGTGGTGACCAACGAAGCACCTTATCAAGAAGATGCAGTGCTGCAGACGCCTATAACACCAGTGTCAGCGGAAGGTCTTATGTCGCTGCAAGATCTCATTTTGAAGAAGGACGCTCATGCTCTTGACGAAACGAGCAAGCAGAACTTGCAGCAACACTTACTAAAGCTCGCCAAAGCCACCCAGTTGTCCTTAACCAGGAGTGCTCTTCAGCAAAATCACATTCAACTCTTAATAGCAGTCAACAATGAAGCGAAGCCCCGACGATCAACTAGAGCCGATATACTCGAGAAGGGGTCGGGGCAGGTGTTTAGCTATGAGCATCTCCAAAATAAACGGCTGAAGCGAGCGGAAGAAGCCGCAGCCAAAGAAGCTAAGGCTAAAGCCAAAGGTAAAGGGAAGCGTGGCCAGAAGGGCAAGAATGCTGCGCAGGAGACAGCAGAAGCCACGGCCTCCACAAGTATAGTGAGACGTGGCCGGAAGCGAAAGAGTACCGCGCTGGAAGCAGAGGCCGGTCCATTGGTGCCAAAAGGCAAGGCTGCAAGAGTGAGCGATGTTCAGGCAGCAGAAGCGGGAGAAGGGCCATGGATAGCGCCAGTCGCACGAATGTATTAGGTTAGGATAGTGCTGATAATATTTGGTTATGTTGTTTAGGGATATGCTTACTTGCAATGGTATCAGTGTCATTGCTCACAGTCTCTTTAGGTTAGACTATCAATTAGTGTCAGCACAGTCTGTACAGCCACAAGAGCCACCTTAGTGGCTAAAAGTAAATTACACGCTACTCGTATTATAAGTGCGGGGTCGGTCCCGCACCAACCGCATTGGGAAGCTGCTTCGGTCTCAGGTACCGACCGGGGTGGCAATCATGTACGAACGAGCGCGCGACAATCACCACAAGGCTAGTAGTGACTTCCTATACCCATAATAACAATTAGAAGCCTAGATAATTCGATTTATCAACTTTACAGGGTCTAAGGGGTCAAGTGCAGTGCTATATAGCATAGGCTTGGATTTTGGCACAATAGAACGCTCGACTGTGTACAGGGCATATGCGCCAACAATAGTGTAATTTTTGTATCTTAGAGTACAGAAGCAGTCTAAAGTAGGCTAAGTAAATATTAACAGAAGACTGTAGATTAATCACACGCGCTCGGAAGACTATAATCGCTTGATCTCAAAGTACCTGCTGTCCGTCTCGCGACGGGGTGCGTCCCGTGACTTAGGGATGGACGTTAACCCAGCTGTCGGAGGGCTCCCATTCTGCAATAACGGCCACATAATTTTTTACTATCGATCGAGAAGGTGGTAGGCCACGTTTTGATAGTTTTTCTATATATTTTACTAGCTCAGATTCTTGTGGTAGAGTGAGTAATTGGCGTTTTTTTGCAGCTGCCGCCCGCGACTGTGTTTTGTTTTGGTGCCGGCGCGTCAATGTTGTGACTTCAACACCAAACTTTTTTGCAGCTGCGCGGTACGAAAGTTGACCTTCTGCATCTTGCGAATCAATTGCTGCGATTGCTTTTTCGATAGCTGTCATGGTGGTGGAGATATCACGTGTTGAAAATGATGGGTGGATATTTTGATGGGGCAGATAGTGTTGCATTGGGTGAACTGTTGCACGCACTGACCACATCCAGTAGGCTATCACACACCAACTTTTAAGCAGAAATTTTTCATCGAAACTCGTCAATTTTTTATTAGATATAGGGGTAACACGTCGTGAGAAATCGATTTATGCCACCTCTGACGTGTGCAGCCCTCTCGTTAAGGTGCTAGAGGGGGTATTATCGATTTTCCCGCGACGTGTTCAAAATGCGAAAACCTTCGAGAACGCACGAACCTCCCCGATGACTAATAAAGAGACTACCATACGAAAACAAAAAAATTGAAAAACACCAATAAAAACAAAAACCATTTAAATGCCAGGCTAGCCTTTGCTCGCCAGGCACTTTATCCAAACGCCAAGACAGCCCTTCCTCGCTGCGGCACCATATCTAAACGCCAAAGCCCTCGCTCGCTAGGCACTATATCTAAACGCTAGAACAGTTATCGCTGGCTGTACTAGCACAAATACCAAAACGCTAAGGCAGCCTTTGCTTGCTACAACAGCACCCCATTCGAACGCCGAAAGCCCTCGCTCGATAGGCACCATACCAAAACGAGAGAGTTACTCATTAAAACTAAATAGCCAAACTTTTTCCTTTCTCCCCTAAAAAGAGCCCGCTGGAGGATTGCTTTGCTATCTAACATCTCTTCCTGTTATCAAACTGCTCTTTAGCACCAGGCATCTATATATATATATATATATATAT